CGATGCCTCGTGCGTGACCCGCCTCGTCTCTCCGCTTGCGCGGTGGGCGCATCGAGGAGGCGGCGGGCTCCTCCGGGACCCGCGATGTCGCGGCTGATTGTGAAGAACCTGCCGAACGGGGTAAGTAAGGCGGAGGGGGGATCTGGACCGCTGCCGGTCTAGTTGGCTGGGCTTGTCCCTTCTCCGGCCGCCGGAGGAGCTGAAGCCGGTCACGCGCGTGGGGTCGTGGCTGTTGGGTGGCCGCACTGGGTCTGTGTGTTTCAAACTCGGCCACTTTTAAGATGAGTGGACTTCAACTCCCAGGATTCCCTGTCTTAAAACATGGCTGACTGGGGGATTCTGGGAGTTGAAGTCCAGAATGGGTTCACCGTTGGCCCCTCGGGTCTTCCGGGGGGAATCCCTCACTGCTGTAATCTATTCTATCCACCTTGCTGGTCGCCACTCTCTTTTTTCCTTTCCTTCCGCCTTTCCCAGGATGTCAAGGGAGGTGGGTCTTTTGATTGATTGATTGATTGATTGATTGATTATGTGCCATCAAGTCGTTTTTGGCTCCTGGCTACCATACAGGTAGATTTTCTCCATGACGATCTATCCCTAACTTGGTCCTTCAAGTCTTCCCCTGGTGCCTCCATTGTAACTGGGTCCATCCCCCTTGCTGCTGTTCATCCTCTTCTTCTCTTTCCTTCCACCTTTCCCAACGTTACGGGATTTTCCAGAGAGCTGGGTCTTTGCATAAGGCACTCTGTTTTGAGCCTGGTCATTGATGCCCTGGGTATGTCTGGGTTGATTTGTTCGAAGATCCATCAGTTTGTTTTCTTGGCTGTCCATGGTATTTTCCAGCACCAAAAGCATTGATATTCTTTCTATCTTGCTTCTTCAAGTCCCTCTACGGACAAATAGGGTTTAAATTCTGGAGGAACTTTAACAGTATTCTAGTCTTTAAATATAACTGTCTCAGCAAATAACAAACTTTGAAGTCACCAAAACAGACTAATTGCACTTCTTGAGTTGAGCTGACTGGTATTTGTCCTCCTTTAGTGAAATGGTGTTTTTAGTGACTGTTCCTAGGAGATGATCAGCCAGTTTGGAGAGAAAGAGCTGTTGGGGTTTTCAGGATGAAATACAGGAGGTTTGGGGTTGCTATGGAGAACAGAAACTGGGCACTTAAGGCATGTGAACTCTAACACCCTCTCCCTCTCCCTCTCTCTCTCTCTCTCTCTTGCAGTTCTCAGACCCATCTCTGGTCACCTTTCCTTAAACTTGGGGGGGGGGGTGTTTCTTGCCACTACGGGAACATAGACACACACACAAAGAACTTTATAAGCCCTGAAATAGACTCAATATAATGATGAAATAAACCTTTTTTAAAAAAATAAAAGAACCCAGACCCCCAAAACAAAAGAGAAAATCTTGTCTCTGTCCCTTTACTTCATTATTCAGCCTGCTGTGACCTTTGGTCACCCACAACATTGGAAAGGTTGTCCAAGGATGTAGAACACACAACCATATTGTTGTAGAAATGGCTTCTCGGTGTGGTGTTAAGATCAGACAGCCTTCTGTAGCCTGCAAATGCGTGGGACTACCAGCTGACAATAATAAAAAATGCTTCATCCAGGAGACGGATAGAGGATGGGGCCTTGTGAAATTATTTGTGTTAGCGTTCTTAGCTCTGCTTGGATGAATTGATCGCAATTGCTTCTCCTGCAGATAAAGGAAGCGCGCTTTCGCGATCTCTTTGCCCACTTTGGCACGCTGACTGATTGCTGCTTGAAATTCACCAGGGAGGGCAAGTTCCGCAAGTTTGGGTTTATCGGCTTTCAGTCAGAAGAAGATGCCAAAACTGCGTTGGCTCATTTCAACAAAAGCTTCATAGACACGGCCAGAGTCACGGTGAGGTATATTTTGGAGATATGTTCATCTTAAGTAACGGTAGGAGTGGGGAGGTGTTACATGGAAATCTTTTCTGGCAACGTTTCTGGGCAGGAATCTGATGGGTACCCCTGGAATAACAATTTTAGTCCGATAAGTCTTAATCTGTCAGACCACACAAGTTTGAAGCTGTAGTATATTTTAAAAGTATATTTTGAAGTTTGTTGAATTGTAGCTCCCCATTTATGTTCAAACCAGGAAATTGGTGTAAGCTTTGAACTAGCTGTGTTTTAGCATGCTAGTTTGTCCTTGGAGCTTAAACCCAATTCTCTAGTTTAGTTAACCACCTCAAAGGGACTATCTTTGAAGTATGAGTCGGAAGGATTGAGTATAATATTTGTAATTGGCCTCTAAAACTTCTGTCCATGCAACACTGAACTCAGATTTTTAAAAGCAGGGCTTATTGATCAACCTATTATCAGTTTGCACATTAGCCAAATCCTGGGTGGATTTGAGCCAATAACATGTCAATTGGAGCTGTTTCTGTACTTTTAAATTTGTTTGGCCACTGTGAAGTATAGAAGACATGGCCTTTGAAATCATATCAGCAATTGTGGAAATGTTCAGTCTGTTGGGGGAAGTTTGTAGGAGTTTAAGGGGCAAGATAGGTTTATTAATCCTTATCAACTTACAAGCACAGCATTAAGCCTTAGTCTGTAACTTAGAAACTGCAGCGGCTTGGTTCATCCATCTCCCTTGTTCTAAGGTAGATGAAGACATCATATATCTTGATCTACTAAATGAATCCAATTTTGTGAAGCAAGAGTGAGATCAGGGTGGGCTTATAAATTTTTTTTTTCCAGGTTGAAGTATGTAAATCTTTTGGGGATCGATCAAAACCTAAGGCTTGGAGCAAGCATTCAGCGAAGCCCCAACTGTTAAAGGAAGCTTCTAAAAAATCCACAAAGAGTTCAGGCCATACAGAAGGGAAACAAGTAAGAGAAAGATTTTTTTTTTTCACAAGGTTTTATTGCATGTCAAATCACCTTTAGATTGAAACTCTCAACCGTTCTGCTTTCTTGACTCTGCCTCTTGTTCTTTTACAACCTGGTGCTTTTTAATTTGTTTTAACCTCTCCTTGCCATTTTGACACAGGCCGTGGAGTTTTCAAAACTTTTTTCCTTTCGTTTCCCAGGGTGCAATAAAGAAGAAAAAGGAAGCAGGACAATTGAAAGAGGTAAATCTGAATCACTTGCAAGGAGGATAGATGTAATTGGAAAACAATAGAGTGCTGTTTGTCAACATTTGAATTAAGGGTTCGGGGTTTTTTTATAAAAGCAGCAAGGCCATTTTTGTTTCTTTGTGTTTTATTTGTAACATCTCTTTCCAGCGCTGTTTAAGATTGCCTTTATTTTTTCTGCTTGCATGTATATTGTTGATTTTGCTACTCGAGTGTATCTCTTTCTGTTTGCTTATTGTATTGCTAAACTTTCTACGTGGCTCCATTCCTGAGTGCCTTCCATTGCAGGAAAAGGAAGAGGGAAAAAATGCTTGTTTGTTTATTCTATCTCTACATTGAATCAAAAAGACTCTGAGGCTGGTAGGAAATTGACGCTATGAGGTGACATTGCTGCTCAGACCAGCCTAGTTTTAACCTTCTCCAAGATATGTGGCTGTGGCGATTTTTCTGAATTCTGAGATTCAAATGTTTTTCTCCTGTCCAAGACATCCTTAAAATAACATCCTGAAATATGGGACATCCTCCTTCAAGCTGTGTCCCTGGTGGAGGAACTGCCCCAAATGTTGTGACTTATTCTAACCATGATCCTTTCTAACCATGATCTTATCTTTGGCCAGCTGGAAGGAGAAGCAGCATTTCAGGACTTCCTGGCAGTGCATAAGAAGCGGTCCCAGGTTGCTACTTGGTCCAATGACATAAAAGTGCAGGAGCCCCGCCGAGCTGAACCGGCTGAAGATTATCTGAACTTTGATTCTGATGGGTCAGAGGACGTGAGCGAGGAGGAGGAGGAGGATGTGGAGACTGCTCAAAGTAATGGACCTGTTCTGCTTTTGTGATGTTTTATGAGTAACTTACACAGCATTGGTCTTCCTACCAAAGTTGGGGGGCTCTTGGCCATCCTTCTTCTGCTCAGAGGGAGCTTTCTTATGCAGAGAGAAAAGATGGAACAAGGAGGGGCTGGGTGAGTGGGGGAAATCTTTCTGGTCAGTGGCTTCCATTGTTGCTTTCAAAGCACAGAAAAATGTGTTGATTCTGTATACAATACTTAGTCAACCGTCTTGACCACTATGTGGAGGCCTAAGCCATCTGGGTTTGCTATTGTTGCCCTTCCTACTTTCTCCCTTTCCACCTTAAAGCTGGATCCATATCAGTCTGCAAGCACGTGTGTCCTTTTTGTGACATCCTAAGTCCCCCAAACAGGTGTCCACCAGACCGTAGCTGATGCTCTGTTCTTCTCCACCCACAGAGAAGGGGAAAAGCTCTCTGAGCAAGACAGCAGCCCAGCAAGAGCTCTCAGACATGGATTATTTGCAATCCAAAGTGGTGAAGGGGGATGAGTCCTCGCCTTCCTCTGCAGAGGAGAGTGAGGCTGAGGAGATGGACAGTGAGGCATCTGATGGAGGAGAGGAAGAAGAGGTGGGAGGGAAGACCAGCTGCAAGCCGAGTGCTGGTTCTAATGCCAAGACCAAGCTGACTAGAAAGATCAAAGTCCAGAATCCCACGGCAGACACCAAGGTTGTAAAAACAACAGCACAGGTATGTCCCAATTTAGGAAATTCAGGTCTGTGGTCAAGTGGGTCTCAGTTGGCCAGTCCATTGGGTTATCTTCCGTATTGTCTGGTTATGGATGTTGTCATGCCTTTTTCAAGGAAGTGATCTGATGGGGCTGAATTACATTGCCTGTAAAGCTGGGGGTGGGAGGCAGGTTATGGTTTACAGCACTGGGCAGGTAGGACAGTCCATACCTGGCTTAGGAGCATGGATGTTACCTGCCTGCAGTTTTGCACTGCTCAAAGAGCAGGTGAGGATTACCTGTGACGGCTCTAAGTCTTAACATGGTGCCTGTATTAGACTCTTTCAGCGTAATGAGAAAAGAAGTAAACTCTCTATACAAGAAGTGTTTTTAAGCTCCACAAAGCACCATGAGCTTTCTCGAGAAGGTACAAGTGTAGATCAGCTACTGCTTGGTGACCCCCTTAGAAGCATATCCATCTCTCCAAGAAGAGAAGGACAGAGGAAAGCAGAAATACAGTCGTTGGGCAAATTCTACTGGCGGAGGGGTACTGAGTATCTCATGAATTGGTGCTTCTCCTGTGGCAGCCCCATTGTGAACAGCAAGCCTCCCCAGAAGTAATTTCATCCTTCCATACTTTTTCTTAGGAGTTTTGAAAAGAAGATTAAAAAAAAAAAAAACTAATGGGAAGAAAGGAAAAAGACAAAAAGTGCAGAAGGAATGAAAAGAAATAGAAGTAGCTTCCAAGTTTTCTTTGCAGCAAATATAAGTGCAGTTACAAAATTGTCCTTTTCCTCTATGGTTACAAAAAGAAAAGTTCTTTTTTTTTCTATTGTCTATTTTTTTTCTCATCAAAGCCATAAATCATAAGATCATTTTCTCCTGTTTCGTGCAAGCAGTCTATAAGGGGTTTCCAGTCAGCAATAAATGTAGATATTGTCTTTCCTCTAATCGCCAGTAGTCAGTTCATGAGGACACCCACCGCATGTCCTTCAGGTTTCAAGTGGGCCCACTATTTCAAATAACGTTGGGGGTCCCTTATTTAAGGTATAGGCAAGAGCTATCTAGAATGAAACATGGCTTTTTCTTAGTCCTAGCTGTTGAGACCAGGAATCTTCATTTTCCCAAACTTTAGGTCCCTGACGCACGGTTGTATTTATCTATTCAAACATGGACCATCGTAGACCAAAAAAATTATATTTAGTTAATTGGTTGGGTAGCAGGCAGTTTCTTATGCTGCAGTGCTTGAAGCTTTCAGGTTAGAAATAAAACGCTGATGTTTTTGCATGTCTTGCTGTAGGAAAACTTATCAGTCACAGCCAGTGAGCCTGCCAGAGCATTCACGGTGAAGATGCGGGGTGCCCCGTTCAATGTCACAGAGGTAAGCCACCTTTGTAACCCATCTAAGTCTTGTGTGACTATTGCCAAAGAAAAAAGTCGTCCTCCTTGGAAGATGGCTTTGTAAAACTTGTACAGTATTGCTGTTACATGCCAGCCCTTCAAGATAGATCAGACTAAGGAATCCAATGTCATGTAAGCCAGTACTACTTTTATTGTGTCAGCTGTAGTAACATAATTTTGTAAGTGTGAATAAGCTTCTACCCCCCCCCCCCCCCGGCTATCTTCATGAGAACTAGGAAGGGTCTTGTCTGAGACATTTACTCAGGTTACATTCCTGCCCTGGACTCAGTCCTCTTTTATCTGACGGTTTTCTTGGTAGTGGCTCTTCCTTCTGTCCCTCAAGGCTACTCCCTCCACCCTCTACGTTACTGGAGGCTGAGGTTGTAGCATTATTCATGAATGAACCTGTCCCATCTGAAGAGGACAACTCAAAAAGGCAAAGCTGTAAGGGTGTTAGAGCTAATTTCTAGGCTGAACCGAGACTCTTGTAGTTTTAGGGTGGGTGTTAAATCAAAATGTGGTTTGTTTAGGTTTGACTGGGAGGATCCCATGAACCTAGCCAGTAGTGCCTTATTTACTGCAACATCGTGTAGCCAACTAGACTCAATGTCTGAAGCTGGTTACCTGCTGCTTATTCAAACCTTGCTTAAGTAAACCAGAGTTTTGCACCATGTGCAAACCAGATACATATTGAAGGACTTTCCTGAAGATCATGGTGACATGGGTGGGGATATGGGTTGGCTCTAGAATTAACGACCTTTTTCATGGTTGATTATCTTTCATGGATGCAGCAAAATGTTAGAGAATTTCTCGTGCCACTTCGGCCCCTGGCCATCCGGATTGCAAGGAACGCCCACGGGAACAAGACAGGTAATGACCGGATTTATAGTTTATGCTCTTAGTTATTCTGTTCTTCACTTTTGTGTGTTAAGAGTGGTTTGTACAGCTCATAGGTAGCCTGTCTGTCACCCTGCCTTGTTTATGCTGTTTGCCCGTTAATTTCAGGTGAACCCAAAAAAAGAGGGTTGCAGAGTGGAACACCAAAGAGGGAACTCTACTAGTAGTAGAATCCTTAATGGAAGTGGGCTAACATTGGAGCATTGCAGTACGTATAATGGTCTTTGTTTAAGATCCTTTAGAGCGGTGTTTTTCAAACTTGGCAACTTTAAGATGTGTGGACTTCAACCCCCAGAATTCCCCAGCCAGCATGATGGCTAGGGAATTCTGGGAATTGAAGTTCACACACATATCTTAAAGTTGCCAAGTGTGAAAAACACTGCTTTAGAGCTCCTTGACCAGGAAAGTGGTTAAATAACCGCCTAAATACTTCAATTTCCTCTTCT